CACAGTTCCCTACAGCCAGCCAGGCTGAGAATGCAGATTATCGCACAAATCTCTTTGTACCCGCAGTTGAAGCTAATGTTGAGACTGAGACTTATGAAACTGTGAATCCCACCGGGAAAAAGACTTTTTGTACATTTGGGAAAGACAAGAGAGAGCACACTATTCTCATTGCCAATGTTAAACCTTACTTAAAAGCCAAACGTGCCCTGAGTCCTCTGCTTCAGGAGGTTCCCTCAGCATCAAGCAGCCCAACCAAGACATGCATTGAGCCTTGCACCTCAACAAAAGGACCAATGGATGGTTGCGAAGTGAAATCAGGAGCCTTGGCTGAACCAAGCAGCCAGTACTTGTCAACTGACAGTCAGTATCTATCTCCCAGTAAACAATCAAAAGACGCTCCTCCATTCATTGCGTCAGACCAGATGTCCAGGGCCTTTGCTGATGTACATTCCCGAGTGAGCCGAGACTCGAGCGAGATGGACTCAGTTCTGGAGCAGTTGGACCGCTCAACCCGGGATCTCGGCAGGGAGTCAGTGGATGCGGAGGAAGTCGTTAGAGAAATTGACAAGCTCTTGCAGGACTGTCGGGGAAGCGACCCTGTGGCCGTGAGGAAGTGAGGGGGAAAATACGGACAGGCTGGCAGTTACGTTCCTCTGCTGCTGATTAAAAAATAAATAAATAAAATAAAAATCCCCTGGTTGTCACAGATTTACAGGAATGAAGGAAGACCAATGCTGCTTTAAGGCTTTTAGTGAACATCTGAAGTGCCCACAAGTATGTTCTTTTCACTGCTCTTTCTTTTTGACAGATAACACTGGTTTCATTTTGACCAAACTTTCATTAGGACAGAGCGAAGTACATTAAGAACTGAAGGAAAGAAGGAAAGACGGTGCCATTTTGACAATCTGATAGGAAGAGAAGTTGTGAGAAAGGTGGAATCGGAGTACGTCTGATACTTTAAGACTGTCCTCAATAGCTGATGCTGACTTTACTGTTTACGCAAAAACCCCAAGAAAAACAGGGTTGAATTATTCTGATCTGTGGTGGACTTCCAGCAGCCACCACAGGCTTCTACTGAAAGTCCTAAAAAAGAGTTCTTGTAGTAGTCCAAGCGACGCCAAACATTAACATTCATTTGTGGTATACATTTATGTACAAAGTTATCTGCCACATGATAATGAAATGGAAAAAAAAAAGAAAAAAAAAGAAAATAAAAAACATTCCAGATCATTATTCAGCAAAACATATCCTGATCATTAGTAAAACACCTCATATCATATTAAGGTTAAATGTAAAATGATATAGTTCATTTTGTCCTGCACACACATAAGCTAATTCACTTGATAAAAAAGAAGAAAAGAGATTTTAATATCTATTTAGCATTTTAGTGTCCAACAAACTTTAAATAGTTAGCGGTAAGTTTTAAACAATCCTGAGGTAAAATAAAAGTTTGAAAAAAAAAGTTACCTGTAAGGGTAATACACAAAATAAATTAACATTATTAACACTTTTTTATTCTTCTGTGGACACTAAAATAGCTCAGGAAAGTGAAAATGTCTTAGACATCCACACAAATCACATGATCATTTAAATGTGCAAATGTAAGAAGATTCAGTGTGTTTACATCAAATGACATATTTTTATTGATTTATTGCAGATTCAGTGCATATGAGCCAAAATGTTGAGTGTATAAGAGCTATATTGTGTATTTTATTAAATTAATATATAGTTGTGTTGCAAAAATATTTGGGCTTATATTGTAAATGGCAAGTGTTGCCTCAGTAGCTGTCGAACTCTATGAGTTTTGTTTTTTCCTGCTTCCTTTTCCCCATGGATTGTGGGAAGCAGCGCCTCAGAGCAAAGTCTCTTGTTTAATGTATGGTCTACGAAGTACTGCAGTACATAATCTGTTCAAAATGTGTTTGAGTGAGCTGATGGAGCTAACGGAACGGCCTACACATACATCCATCAGTCATGGTTATGTGCAAGTCCTTGTAGAAGCTTTTATTGCAAACCCATGTTTAATAACAACAATTACACTTGAACCAACACCTGGAACCTCCTTGTTATTTTCCAAGCACATGCAGCCAGCCTGTTTGATGTAGGATACTTGGTTGACTTCTCGATATCACCACTACCACTACTTTCAAAGTTTTGTTATTAAGTTCAGAGAGCTAAAAAACCTGACAGTGCCATTGTGGCATGAGCAGCATTTTATCAAAATCTGTCGAAAGTGGAATTGTTTACTGAAGTTCTAGGTATGGGCTGCTTATTTTGGGGCGTTGTTTTTAGTTTTATTTTCAGTTGTTCTGAAAACTATTTGCAGAGCAACTTGGGAGATAATTTCTACTTTTATCTTATTTATTCTAAGGGTATTTCTAATGCATTAGAAAAATTCAAAATTATCTTTAGATGAAAATGAAGAAGTAGCAACAGCGCACGTTCAAAATGAAACAAACAAACAAACAAAAAAACACACAAGAAATAAACACAGAAGAAAAAAGTGTTTAATCCACCATTTGCTCCTTGTATACTTCAGATACTCTGTTGGACATACCACTATGACACATTGTTTAAAAACAGTGTCTGGGTTATTTTAGTTTTAAGCTATATTATGCAAACATATATGAGAGGTTATTTAATTCAGGTTGGCAATCTCAAATCCCACAAAGCCATACTTTTTATCAGTTTAGGAAAGTAAGTTAAATGGCAGCTGATTTTGATCTTGGGATTCCTGTCAAAGGGTGATCTTGACTAGTCAGTCCTACAATGAATTGTCTTTGGTTGTTGGAGACACCCATTCTGAAAGTTTGCTCTTAGCTCCTGCTGTTAAGAAAGTCTACAATTATGTGTGAACAAAGGCTCTTGTACATGTTTATCAAGCTACTCTCCATGTTTTGGACAATTTATGTATCTGAAATGTGGTGTTGTCTGTGTTCTACAATTTCTTTTTTTGTTTGTTTTCAGCCAGGAGACCCAGGATTGATTTTGCTTGATAGCTTGGTAGCTTGAAGTTCCATAGTGGAGAGGATTTCTTATTGTTTGACCAGTCTCTTATATGTATACTTCTGTGGTGCCCATCACTTCTGTGTCTGTGCACCAAGTCTTTAGCTCTGCCAGTGAGATCCATTATTCAGCAAAATCCAAGCCAGTATTTAAATGCAGTCAAGTGATGGAGATTTGTGTATTTTATAAATGATTTTAACACTGAGTAACCAATTGTACAATTCATTGTATGTGTCTGAAGACATAAAACACAACATTCTGAGAAAGGGCTGTGCCAATGTAAGAGAATTTACCTTAAGGCTCTCTGTCACTAGTGATTTACTAGCTTTAGCTGTTTAACACATTATCTGTATTTAGTAGTTATTATTTATTTACCACTCTAAAGTAATTCAGAATTCATGACTCACAGCTTTATAGATGAGTTTAGGAAATCTTGCTTTTATTTAATTTGGTTGACAACTTCCCTGTGTTGTAGATTTCTGGCATACTTCTTCCAGCAAGGATATCCCATCTTATAAAATCTGTTTCCTAATATGGGATTGATACATAAAGAACCAATAAACCAGCAGATGTGACTTTTCCTGGTTCAGTCAAAATTAACGTGATCATCTATGAAGGAAGTTACATACCGAAAAGAAGTAAAATCTTGTTACTTCTCAGTGTCTCTGCTATTACCACTGAAGACAGAGACAGCAATGAACAATGAAACTTATGAGCTATTTCTTTCATTCCTTATGTACATGCTTTATAGAACTGAAAGAAAATATCCATCATGTGACTATAAAGAGAATGGCTGAGGTAAGGGAAAGCTTGTTAAGTAATTAATAAAATTGTACTGTACACTGTGAGTAGAGATAGTAGAGACAATTATATATATATATATATATATTCATTAATGACAGCAAATATCTGGGAGCTTATTAAATGGTCGTCCAATCAGATTAGGAGTCAAATCAGACTTTTCCTTTTTTTTTTTTTTCTTGGAATACTTATCAGGGAAGAGATTATCCTGAACTGTGATTTGACATTTGAGCATACAGGTTTCCCAGTCAAAGTTACACCTAGAAGTGAAGCATTTGCTCGCAGTGGAACAAGACACATCATTCAAACAAGCTTTCAAGCTGTTTGTTGCCTAATGGAAGGGAAATTGCTGAGGTCAAGAAGTAGTCTGAAGCCTAGCATAATATACACCCACTCATTATTCTTTAATTGCATTCTTTTGACATCAGGCAGTGATTATTAGTGCATAAATTCAAATGGGAGTTTTGGCTATCAAGATTTGTTGATTTAAAGTGTAATTGAATGAAACCTGATTAAGGTTTTGACTTCTCTGGCCCAATTGTGCTACAGGTTGGCAATTCACATTTATCAGCCCCTGTGTCCCCATATGGCTCAAAGTTGCACCAATTGATCGGTGAATGACACACACACACACACACAAAAACAAACAAAAGCAGCATACATTGTATGGTTTATCTCAACCGCTATTGTTTAATGGCTGTGTTTAATGTGACCTATCTGGAAAATGAGGACTACGAATAAAAAGCAATTACTAATAGTGGTGTTGCCTGCTTTTGCATTCATTAACACAGAAGAAATGTGTTAAACACTGCATACCACAGGGAGCCTGATGGTAATTACTTTGGAAAAGCAACTTGTGGCAATGCGGCTGTTACAGCTAGTTATCAGTTTGCCAAAAAAAATGACAGTTCCTGCTTCATTTATTAGAATTGTGTAACCATTTTCTCTCAACAGGAAGATGGTGAAGAGTTTTCATCAAGCTGGGTAGGTTTATCTTTTAAGCTGATGTGCTGAATCCCTACAGGCTGTTATTTGCTCACAGAAATATGGTGCTGAATAAAGCATAGTTTGGTTTAGTACACTGGTGTGAGTTCACCAAAAGCACTATAAATGAGAGTGTAAGATCTCAAAGACTGTCAGCCTGACATGAAAGATGAAAATACTGCCTGAGTGTGCAAGTGGAAAAAAATATTCTAAAGGATATAAAGTTTCTTAAAAATGCATCTTCCTCAGGGTCTTGAGTATTGGAGGTAAATAATTTCATCCATGTTACTGTGAACAACGTGACAAAATGCTAGGAAAAAATATGTTTCTCTCATGACTGGTTGTCTGAGGATGTTGTTATAATTTATTACTTCTGTTAGCCCTTTTTCTTTTTTCTTTCTTTTTTATTTTTTTTAAGAAATGTTCTGTCTGAATATCATGATGGCTTCTTCAGACTGTGTGTCCTTTTCTATTTGCTCCTATGTGATATAACTGGCATAGCAAATAGTGTAAAGTCTCCACACACTGAATGTTTATTACCCATAATATATATACATATATATATATAAAGGCATTGCTTTTGACAAATAAATTGAGTTTTCATCTGTTCAGAATACAATAAGAATTATGGAGATATGTGCCAGTCCTGCAGGCAGAATTTACCCATCGCATGTTTTCTGCAAGACTCTTTGCCAGAAAGAAAACTAGCCTACATCTAATTAGCTGACTATCCTAGACACTGAAAACCCCTATTGTTTCCTTCCTTTCTTTCTGCTATATATATTTGTCTTTCTACAGGCTGAATTCCAAAATTTAGCAAGCCACTGTCTGTGCAGAGTCCTGCCAGGATGTACCTTATGCCGCTGAAGGCCTCATTGGACATGGGATGTTGCTGTCTTGCTGTCTTCAATTGTGTGTAATTCAGAGCTTGGCTGGCTCCACAGTATATGTAGAACAAGTCATAAACCATCCTGGCTTTTCTTTACCCAGAATACAGAGTCATTGATTTCTCATTTGGAAAGTGGCCAGTCTATCAAACAGAGATTTTTAGATCTCCTTTAAGCCAACCACATATAACTGCTTCAGGGTGTTCACTCATGGGATAAAGATCCTATCCTCATCCTTTATTGAGTCTAAGACATGAAGGCAGCTGAAAGCTTATTTCTTCAGTTAGTCATGTTTCCCTAAAAAGTGAAATTTCTCCAGGAGAAATAAAGGATGGCTCTCTGCTGCATGTATAGCTTGAACTGTGAAAGGTCACCTTACTTTCAGTAGTGCATGTAGAAATGGATCAGGAAATTAATGACCCATCTTAGAATTTTCTGCGATGTATATTTCATAATGCATATGTTACGACTCAGAACAGAAAGCACAGTATCTC